TTTTTTTTTTTTTTTGTGTGTGGGTTTTTTTTTTTTTTTTTTTTTTTTTTTTTTGCCTTATCACTCTGGCTAGGACTTCCAGTACTATTTTGAATAGAAGTGGTAAGAACGGGCATCTTTGCCTTGTCTCTTACGTTAGAGAAAACGTTCAGTCTTTTACCATTGAGTTCAATATTCTCTATGGATTTTTCACATATTGCTTTTCTTATGTTGAAGTTTCTTTCTGTCCTAATTTGTTGAGTGTTTTCATCATGAAAGAATGTTTAATTATATCACAGGCCTTCTCAAGATGAGTTGAGATGATCATGCAGTTTTTTTCTTTATTCTCTTAATGTGATCTATTACATTGATTTTTGTATATTCATAATGAATAAATTCCACTTGGTCATGAAGTATAGTCTTTTGAATATGCTTTTTAATTCAGTTTGCTAGTATTTTGTTGTGAACTTTTGCATTATTGTCAAAAGTAATATTGGTCTGTAGTTTTCTTTTTCTAGTAGTGCCAAAGAGATAGGATAATGCCAGCTTAATGAGTTAAGGAGGAATGTTTTCTCCTTTTCAATTTTTAAAAAAAGCTTGGGAAAGATCGATGTTGTTTCTTTTTTAAATGTTTGGTAGCAGTCACTGAGGAAGCCATCAGTTCCAGGACTTTTCTTTGTAGGGAGATTTTTTTTGGTACTGATTCAATCTCCATACTAGTTGTAGACCTATTCAGATTTTTTATTTCTTCATGGTTTAGTCTTGGTAGGTATTATGTTTCTAGGAATTTGCCCATTTAATCTAAGTTATCCAATTTTTGGTGTATAATTGTTCAGAGTACTTTAATAATCCTTTTTATTTCTAAGAATTTGTAGTAATGTCCCCACTGTCATTTTTTATTAATTTGGACCTTCTCCCTTTTTGTCTTAGTTCATCTAGCTAAAGGTTTGTCAGTTTTGTTTCTCTTTTTGAAGAACTGATTTTTGATTTTGTTGATTTTCTGTATTATTTTTCTATTCTCTATTTGATTTCTCTCTGCTCTAATCTTTATGCCCTTTTTTTCTCCTGGCTTTGAGTTTAGTTTGTTCTTTATTTTCTTGTTCTAGTTGTAAAGTTAGGTTTTTGATTTGAGTTCTAATTTTTTAAATATAGGCATTTGTAGAAGCTATAAATTTCCCCCATTGCACTGTTTATGCTGTATCCTGTACGTTTTGGTGTGTTGTGTTTTTGTTTTCATCTCTCAATATTTTTTAATTTCCCTGTGATTTTTTTTTTTTTTTTTTTTGAAACAGAGTCTTGTTCTGTTGCCCAGGCTGGGGTGCAGTGGCATGATCTTGATTCACTGCAACCTCCACCTCTTGGATTCAAGTAATTCTCATGCCTCAGCCTCCCAAGTAGCTGGGATTACAGGTGTGTGCCACCACACCTGGCTAATTTTTGTATTTTTAGTAGAGACAGGGTTTTACCATGTTGATCAGGCTAGTCTCAAACTCCTGATCTTAGGTGATCCACCCACCTCAGCCTCCATAGTGCTGGAATTATAGGTGTGAGCCACTATGCCCAGCTTTTTCTTTTCTTTTCTTTTTTCTTTTTCTTTAAATTCTTTGAGTGTCTTTGAGACAGTCATTTTAAAGTCTTTGTCTAGTAGATCTGCCATCAGTTTTTTTTCAGGCACAATTTCTGTGGATTCATTCTTTTGCTTGGAATGTGCCATATTTTCCTGTTTCTTTGTATGATTTGTGATTTTTCTTTTGTTAAAAACTGGACAGTTAAATCTAACAGTGTTGTACTTCTGGAAATCAGAGCCTTCCTTCTCTAAGACTTGCTGTTTTTTTGGTGTGTGTTTGTTTGTTTAAATTGTAGGCTCTCTCTGTGTAGATCAGCCTGAGGTTTTCTTGGGTTTTTCTGAGCCTGTGCTCTTCTCTGGACATGTGCAGTGACTTCCTAATTTCCTCTATCCATGTAGCAGCTTTTGGATGCACTGGTCTTCAGTATCTGGTTTCCATAAGGTGAAAAAGAGACAAATGAAAGGAGGGAAAAAAGACACTAGCCCCTTAAATCCCCTGGAAGTCACTCCAGCTAGAGGGGGTGGGGTGGGGGGGACTTACAACCATGAGGGAGAGGCATAACAAAAATGGCCTTTACCTCTTCATCTACACTTATGTGATCATAACCAGCCATCAGTGATCAGAGCAGGGGTCCCCATTATTTGGAGGACAGGGTCTTTTTTCTCCCCACTGTAATTTTCAGCAAGCTGTGTGAAAGATCTTAGGAACATGGAATGTCGGATGGGTGGGTAGCTACTAATGGCTAAGAGCTGAAATCACTGAAATTAACTGCAATTTACTATTGATCCCTTCCCCTGGAAGTTGCATGCCTTCAGTAGACTCCCGAGTTCCCAAATAGTAGTTACATTAGATTCTGCCAGTACAGTTTTTGTCTAGGTGGTGAAAGCATCTGATGCTTCCTACTCTGTCATCTTCCCAGAATCCTCCAGGCTTTATAGTTTTTAGTGTGCCTTTACATTTATTCTTTGTGATAAATTTGTGAGGCAGGTTGCAGCAGTCAGTCATTTGATAGATAAGAAAGCTTCGTGGCTTGCCCACAATTATACAACTAATATATGACAGAGCCAGCTCTAAAAAAATCTATGTTTCTTTTAACCTGCAGCACCCTCTGCTTTGATATAATAAGACTAAAGAGTTAATGTAGAAATCAGAAAAGTAGGCTGGGCATGGTGACTCACACCTGTAATTCTAACACTTTGGGAGGCTGAGGCAGGTGAATCACTTGAGGTCAGGAGTTCAAGACCAACCTGGCCAACATGGTGGAACCCTGTTTCTACTAAAAATACTAAAATTAGCTGGACACGATGATGCACACCTGCAATCCCAGCTACCCAGGAGGCTGAGGCATGAGAATTGCTTGAAACCAGGAGGCGGAGGTTGCAGTGAGCCAATATCGTGCCACTGTGCTCCAGCCTGGAAAGAGTGAGACTCTGTCTTTAACCAAAAAAAAAAAGGAAAAAGAAAAGAAAGAAAAACCAGAGAAGCAAAACTTCATCAACACTTCTAGATACCAGGGAGTAGTACATCAGGATCTAGGGTACAGAGAAGAGGAGTGTGAGATTAACTGAGACTGTTCCGCTGTGAACAAGCCTATGTGAACCTACCCTCAAAAGCTGAGGAAGCTGAGAGGCCAAAGAAAGAGGCTGACAAGTCCAGTTTCTTAGAAGTAAACATTAAATAGGGACCAAGAACAAAAGCCATATCTTAGGCTATGGTGAGACAAGAATGGTGGATCCCTGTGTCATTAACCCCCAGACCCAGGACTTAAAAACCAAGGGGAAGAATGTGTAGGACAATTGAAGTTGACCCCTCAGTGAACCAAGAATGCTATGTGAATCTACCTAAGGGCAGGTTTTGTGGTCAAGGTTGTTTTAACCTGAGGGCATGATTTACAGTAACAGTAGATAAAGTAGAAATTTTAGAGGCATTTCCAGAACAGGGGTTAATCACAAGTCAGCATAACAGATTAGTATTTATGATGGAGTTACTTGATTATCCTCAAAAACCAGATACTGGGCCAAGAGAAGAAACTGAAAGTCGGAATTAAAAGCCCCAAAAGCGAAACCCAAAGGAAAATTTGGAGTGAGAGCAGCTGGGGATTTTGCAAGGAGACCAGAGGGCAAACCTGGGAATTTGTGAGGTCTGCTTAGCCAAGCCCAATTGTGAGGACCCTTTTGAAAGCTGAGTTCTTTCTCTGCTGGTCTCTAAGGGCCGTAGCACCCCGGGCCAAAATTTTAACAGGAATAATAAGGTGTTAGGTCATTTATTTGCATTTTTCATGGATTACATAGTCATATGTTAAGGTTGTTATAAGGTTGGCTCTGTGATTAGTGGTTATCATATTGGACAATACAGTCAAACATGGATTCTTTTTTTTTTAATTTAATTACTATATGCACATGTAAAGGTATTCAAAGTGTTAAGAAAAATAAAAAGCGAACAGTAAAAGTATTTTCCCTTGCCTTCCTCTCCACCTCTTTTTTTGCTCTAAAGATATCCACTATTAAAAATTTCTTTTTCATGCATTCAGGAAAAGAAAAGTATGTGCAATACAATTTTATATGGATATGCTTTTCATAAGTTACATAAAATGATTATGCTGGGGATCCTCTTATAAATATATATTTAAATTTAAACTCTAACTTGGAGGTCTTGATGCAACACTACATTTAGCTCTACTTCCTCCTTTTTAAAGGTTGCCCACTGTTCCATTTTTGGGGAACAGAATTTGCCAGTTTTTTATTCATACACTTTTACATTATCTCCAGCTTTTTACTATTTGAGCAATACTATAATACATGTGGCAACTTACGCATGTGTGTAGGGATAATTCCTACCAGTATAACTGCCGGATCAAAGGGTAAGAATAAAGCTTCTTAAAGATGGCTCTCTAACAGTCCTGCATGATAAGTAGTGTTTCCAAGCAAAGAGGAAACACACAATTTGGGGATAGGATGGGGCATAAACAATAAAGACTAGAGAGAAAAGGAACCAGGTATAAAATGAAAATGAAAAAAAAAAAAAAAAACACCTCTGGCTGTGAGATAAGAAAGATAAATATTTGTATCAATAATTTTAAGAGTGCCCTTTAAAGTTTAATCAGTACAGTCTTCCCTGGGAATGCTTAAGGACGATTCTTTAAATGTCAATATGTTTTACTGCGTAAACATACAACTTTTAAAATACAGGCTATTGTCTTTAGTTTTATTATAAAGATATTGCAGATTTACTGCATATAATTTGGAAAATGCAAAAAGACTAGAGTAGAAAATAGTTTTTCAGTCATCATATTACTATTCAGAGACAACCAATATTGATATTTTAATCTCTATTCCTGTATCTGTATTAATATTTACACAGTTGAGATCATATCATATATACAAACTTTCCTTTGCCAATTGTTTTGATTTTAATAATTTTTTCATTATTCTTTGCCTTTTTTTTTTTTTAAAGATAATAGAAATCTAACAATGTTTTGGAATGAATTTGGATACCAGAATGACATCAACATAGAGAGACCCTTAAATTCTATTCAGTTTCAAAGAAGACAAGCCATGGGTATCCCATTCATCATACAATGTGGTGAGTGTTGAATTCCATTCTAATTACCAAATATTAAGATTTCTTAAATATGCAGGTCATTGTGTTAAGAAATGAGGGATGAGAGAGACAAAGGTGAGTAAGACATTTTGCTTCCAAGGAGGCTACAGTCTAGAAGAAAGTTGTAAAGGTGAAAATAGTCGTAGTACAGGGGAAAATAAGGTAGATGATATAAAAGAGACAAAGAATTATTTGAGAATTCAAAGAAAAGGATCGGGGAGTAGAGGCAAGACTTCTTGATGGAGTAGCATTTGTGATAGTCTTTAAAATAGTTTCAGGCTGGGCACGGTAGCTCATGCCTATAATCCCAGTACCTTGGGAGGCTGAGGTAGGTAGATTGATTGAGCCTAGGAGTTCGAGACCAGTCTACGCAACATGGCAAAACCCCGCCTCTACAAAAAATACAAAAATTAGCCAGGCATGGTGGTGCATACCTGTGGTCCCAGGTACTTGAGAGGCTGAGGTGGGAGGATCGCTTGAGCCTGGGAGATTGAGGCCATGGTGAGCTGTGATTGTGCCGTTGTACTCCACACTGGGAAACAGAGTGAGACCCTGTCTTAAAAATAAATAAATAAATAAATGAAAATAGAATTTTGATAGGCAGAGATGAAGAGTGGGAAATATGAATTAATATCAGGTGTACACTTCAGCTAAAATGTTTGTGAAAGAATAATAGCCATCTTTCTATTTTTAATATGTAACACTGTTTAACACATAGTAGGAATTTAGTAACTGACAACTGAGTGACTGAACAATGAATAAATAAGACAAACACATTAGGTTGGGTAAACATTTAGAGATTCCTGGATGTCAGGATAAGGTTTTACTTTGATAAGCAAGGAGGAGATACTGGAATTCTTTCAATAGAAGGAATAGGAGGATAATTACATTCAACACTTATTGATTTGTTTTCTACCCACTACACAAAGGGGTATGGAATTAAAGACAGTGTCTGATATCTGCAGTATCTAATAACAGTTTAGTGGAGAAAACAGACAAGCAGACAAGAAGACACTCTACAGTGTGTAAAGCTCTATAGAAGCATTTATACAGCTCTCAGGGAGCACCTCTTTAACCTTTTGCCTGGGACTATTCCAAAGAGGTCAGGGGTAATTTGTAGTTAAGGTTGTTCTGGCAGCTCAGTGAAGGAGGACTTGGTGAAACACTAGAACAGGAGACTGTTGTTGTAATCTAGGATCCAGGTGAGGAATTGTTTTAAGTGTCTGAATGAAGGTATGGCAGTGAGAGTTAAGAGAATCATACATGACAGATATTTAGAAGGTATAATTGAGGAAATTGATGACAGTATGTGACAGTCTGTCACATGCTAATAATAATGGATAACAATTACTGTGATTTTGATTTGTACCAGGCACTGTTAGAATCCAATCTCCAGTACCCAAGAGCTATACAAAATTGGGCAAATTGTTTAACTTCTTTAAGTCTCAGCTTCTTCTTTTCTGAAATGAGATTAGTATTTGTAGCTCCATGATAGAGCTTTAAGAATAATGTGAATTAATAAGTATAAAGTTTACTAAGTGCTAAGGAGGATAGTGTCTAGCAGTGTTGGCTTTTATGATGATGATGAGGAGAAGGAGGAGGATGTCATTTCATTCTCAGTAACTTTTAGATACATACTAATACAATATTAATCTCTTTTTATAGATAATGATACCGAAATATAAGAAGTTAAATAATTTGTCCAAGATCATAGAGGTGATAAGAGGTGGAGCTGTTCAAATTCTTAACCTTTGTGAATACTGACTGCCTCTGCCTTAGATGGAAGAGACAAGTGTTAACCTATGAGCTGTTAGCAGTGTGTCTAGAGGGAATTCAGGATGAAATCTAAGCACAGCCTGGAGAGAGAAGTGTGCCTTCATCCCAAAGGCAAGGAAGGACAGTAAAGGAAAATGGGTGAAGAAATCAGAAACTATGAACTGGTGAGAGGAATAAGAACAGAAGAAAGTACAGAAGAAAACATGTATATGTTTCAGCAACCTTGACATTCTTTCCTTCCTCCCTTCCTTCCTTCTTTTCCTCCCTCCCTTCTTCGTTCCCTCCTTGCCTCCTTCCTTTGGTCGGTCCTTCCTTTTTTCCCTCCTTCCTTCCTTTTACCCTTCCTTCCTTTTTCCCTTCCTTCCTTCCTTCTTGCTTTATTTTATCTTAATTTTATACTAGTTGAGACCATGATTTTCCTTCTTATGTTAACCATGTAGTTGGAGACAGAAAGTGGTGTTATCAGCAGATAGATAATAGGTCAGAGAAAATGGGAGAGTCAAGTCACTGAAATTCTTAATTTGGTTTTAGAAGAGGTGAAGTGGGATCTATTATTTATGGTAATTTTGGCTGAAAGTAGCAGAAACTAACTGGAGGGAACTGAGACAGTAATCACAATAACTTGTTGGTGGGGTCCTGAAGTAGCTTATAGAACCCTAGAATAGATGTGCCATCAAGAATAATGGTATATGAAGGATTCACTTGTCTTTGGATTGAGAGTTACTTCATACTTTTGCTATGTGCAAACTGACATCTTACTATGATAGATTCATTTCTTATTGTGATCTCTTTTCTGTGTCATTTTGTTTTGATTGTCAGATCTTTGTCTTAAATGGAGAGTCTTGCCTTCCTCTACTCATTATCAGGAGAAAGAATTTTTTGACATTTGGATTTGTGCTAATAATCCTAACCTCTTGGAAAACAGGTAGTTTTTGATTATTTTCTAACATTCTTTGTCCATTTTTAATTTCCTAAGTTCAGATGTATGAACCTTGAAAATGTCAATCTATAATATAGATTTTAGCTTAGTATCTGGTATCTCTTCAAACTCTTTCTGACCCCCTGCTACCTGTGCAAAGATTATTTCATTGGTGTGCTTTTCCATCAAATAAAAGAGATCTGGGTGTAACTATCTGAAGACGTTGGCGTGTGCAGCTCTGCATTTCCACCGGTAGGAGACCACAACCTGGTACTTAAGAGTTCTTCCTTCCAGTTCATTTTCACACAACAAATGGCCTTATTGTACAGGAATGTTACTCAGAGGGTGTCATTTAATTTTGTCTCTTCTACCCGTAAGAACAGTGCCACTTGTGATGAGTGGCTAGATAAATTTAGCTGTGTTGACAGAAAACTGATAGACCTGAAAAGCCTAAAATGCAAAAATGTTTTCTTATGTTTATAATTTCCTTAAGTCCTTGATTCTTTAAATATATGACATGATATTAACCATCTGTGTTTTATTTTCACTGAAAAGACTGTGACAAAAATATGCTTAAAGTGGCAGCAAGAGATTTAAGGGACATGTAAAGAAAAATTGATTAAAAGGGCAGTTAATTGAGATTTGGCACTTTCCTCATGGGAGCTCATTAACAGTGACGTAGATATGACCATTCCCAGGGAGGGTGAAGAAATTAATCTGATGACCGTGCTCAGTCCTTTGATTCAAAATGGTAGGATAGGCCATCTATACCTTGAAAATATGCCATGAAATAAATTATTGTTAGGCAAAACCCCTGACATATATGCCATTGGGTTTGGATAGAATCACTTAAAATAAGTGTATCAAAGTGATGACAAGCATAGTTATTTATTAGGGAATAATCTATGAGTAGAGGGACAGAGTAATGGGATGAAAAGTATCATTGTCTGTATTTACAGAAATACAGTTTTTTGTCAGTAGTTAATTGCCAATTGTCAGCAAGGATGATGTCAATGGACAGCATTTGAATGAACAATGTGTAACTAGAACTCGGACTGGAAGCATAATAACTTTCTCTTACTTTGCAATTACATTTGCTGTCTCATTCCATTTCTATAAAAGGCCTGTGAACTTTCCCCATTTTCAGAGAAGAAAATAGAGTGGCTAAGAAAGGATTAGTGACTTGCCCAGAATTCTTCATTACAGCTGAAGGTGGATGCCAAGTTGCCGATTCAAAACCTGTACTCCTCCTGCCTTACCACATTGTCTGTTGGAAGGCACCCTTTTCCGTTTCAGGAAGCCTGGTATCATTCAGATACTTTTTAGTGGACAAAATACATCTTACAAATGATAGTCTTCAGTAACCTGGACAGGGTAAAGTGGAGCCACTCTTTTTTCAAATGATTGGAGCCTGATTTTGTTTTCCACTTTAAGCACAGAGGGAGGCTATACATTTTTGACACAATACCTGAGAAATAGCTATCAGTAAGCTTCCATTACATTCATACTATGCACTTATCTGCATTGAAAACAGGGATTACCAGCAGAGTAAAAATGATGCCTATTACTTGGCTGAACCAAAAATGTCTGAATTTTGAAAAGGATGTTGAAAAATATGTATTATATTGCACATTAAACTCTAATTCATTTCCAAACATCTTTAAATGAAGACAGTTGAATAAATTGCCTTCTAATAAAATGGTTGAGGTTTCCCTCTTCAGAATAAAAACTTAATGTTGCCACAGGTTCTTTTCTGAAATAAAGTAGAAACCTATATAGATGCCACCCCACAGATGTCTTCAAATCAACACTGCAGGTTGCTGGATATATAGAAGGTGTCCCTAGGATTTGCTTATCTAGCACCTTTCTTTGAAAATAACAATAATAACAAACACCATATGTGGGTGGAATTAAGTGTTTTTTCACAGTAGTACCTGAATTTGATCGTAGTTCCTCTTTTCCGTCGGTATGGGGTGAGAAAAATATATGCCGCAGCCCTGCAAAACAGAAATGGTGGGTCTGATCTGCCTCACTTTTCCCTCCCTGTTCCAGATGGGAGAAAGTCCTCTCTCAATCTTCAGCCTCCTCCTCCCTTGCCTAGACTAACACCCCTGTATTTTCTGTGGACTTCTGTCCCTTCCTCCTCTTTTTGGGAGCTCAGTGGAACTCATCCCCTCTCCACCCCCAATCAATAATAGAAAACTCCTTGACCTAGAGTGGGCTTAAAGAACTAACCTCAGCATCTTATGGCACTACTAAATGTTCCCCACCATGCCCTGGATCAAAGCTATGCCCAGCGGGAGTTGAACTTCTTGTCTGTATCAAGCTTTGATACCAAATTGAACAAAATAATATCTCACTTTTTCAGCAGTTTGGCTGACTCAGTTTCCCAGTACATAGCCACAAAAGCAAAAATAAGGAAAAAAATGGCCTCAAACCTTCCAAACCATATGCTTTGAGGGTTATTAGTATTTTTTTTTTGTAATTATAACAAGAGATGTGCTCATCCGTAGCCTGTTTATTGTCCATTTACAAATCATTCTACGTTATTATATATTTACTAACCCACAAGTTATTAGAACAGCACATCTGTAAGGCTGGGAAGCAGAGTGGCTGCCAGAAGCAGATACCCTTACGGCAGTAGAGCACTTGGCAGGATGCTGCAGTCAGGACCAATGGGCGATTTGCGGAAGGGGCTCTATGCAGCTCAGGACCTCCGAGGCTATTGCTGAATCCTACATCACATCACGTAGTCACTGGTCTTCACAGTGATCCTGGGTCATCAAACAGATAATCCATGTGTTTCAGAGGCATAATTATTTGCTATATTTTAAAGAGGCGTATGTATTTCTCTACCAAGTTTTCAGGGGGGGGTGGGAAATGACAGTGATGAGATAAGCTCAGTGATCTAAAATAATTTTTGCAAATGGCTTCATTTCATGATAATGTAGAATAAATGAAGCATTCGCAATGTAATTGACACTTTCCCGTCCTCGTAAATATGTGCCACTGTCCACGTTTTTTATTAAACTGTTTTCCATGCAAATTGGAGATTTAAGGTCATTTGTTACCTAAAGCCATCAATACAATGCTTTTCCTTTGTATTTGAATTTTGGATATGTGACATAAAGAGTAACTTCTCCTAGAAGCACATCATCTTTTAGAGACAGTAAATAGTTTTGTATTTCCTCTTGATGTTAATCTTGTACTTGTTGATTCTGAAGTTGTCATCAGATAGAACGTCTACCTTCCATTCCCCTGGGTGCCATGAGCACAGTATCACCATCAAAAAATGAGAAAGAGAAGCAGCTTAGAGAGTCAGTCCTAAAGTATCAAAATAGACTGGCAGAACAACAGCCACAGGTGAGTTGTTATTAATTCCTCCCCAATTCTGCTGTGATTCTTGAGCTGTTGGTTTCATATGTGCAAATTGTCTAAAGCGGTTTACACAATAAAATGTGTATACTCTTTTTGCTGTCCTTTTTGAGATCTTTTAATTTTGGATCTAAGACCTGTTCTAAAGAATGAGTACAGAGGAGGGAGGAGAACTTTGTAAAAAAAATACCGTATAATGATATCTAAGCCCCTCTACACAACAATGCATGTCAGAAATAGAGACATTTATTTCCTTTCCACTCCACAGCTGCACATAGAGCCCAAGTCAGCTAGCATGTCCAAGATCATGTGGTCAAGGTGTAACAGAAGTTTGTATAACTCCAAAGGATAGACTGTTTCTGTTTCATTACCCTTTTTCCCTGAGGGAGGGTTTTAAGGTAAAGAGTTCTTTTAAAAAGCGTTAACCTATTAATTTAGAAAGTCAAAGTCATATTTAATTGTTAAGAAAATTCAATAAATAAAACATTACCATCAATCAACATAGGTAACCATGACAATTTCAAGTGTAAGAAAGTGTGGCATGTAGAAAAATTATTTTATTTTCTTGACTAATAATTAAATCTCTATAGATTTAGCACGTAAATTCATCATTTTTAATTGTGTGCCTGTCAGCTTTCTCAAATAGCACTTGTTGCATATGTCTAAATGTGTGAACACTTCTATAGATGTCAGGAAATAAAATGCTTATTAAAATAGAAAATTCAATGATGAAGTGGGAGCTAAGCTCCCCAGCCTTAGCAGCTTATAGTGTTTTCCTGGGCTCATGGAGGATTACTCTTTTACCTCACTTAGCTTGCTAGCGTTCTGCAGTGCAAGTTGGATACCACCTGAGATTACAACCAAAAAAACCCGAGCCTTCCTTTCTACCCTGGAGTCTTAGGGTTTCTCTTGGAAAGATATCGAGTCACTTTGGAAACACATTCTCCTAAGCACTCCCCACCTCTAAAACGTGGTTCAACTTTCTACAGTTTTTAAGGGTTTGATAACATAAGTCAGCAACAAAGGTTTCACAAATTTTAGTAAATAATTAAGTACATTCAGATCATTTTGTTATGAAATATTTCAATTTTGTTTCTTATTTACCACACTTTGCAGCTTTGTGAAGGCATTCAGCACATTCTGAATTGATTGCATCTTTATTTGCATTTCTGGACATTGTTTATCTTTTCTGTAGCGATCATAGCCAACCCCTGTGTAGTAATAATGCCGATCACCAAGACTTAATTAGCTTGTTTGTTTAGTATTGGTTGTTGCATTCATCACCGAGGCAGAGAATTTGATGGCAGCTGATGGAATAGCAGATTTGAGCCAACAGTTTTCCTTATTCTTTTTTCTTGGTAGTTGATTTTTTAAATAGGATTTAAACCAAGCTTACAGATTTTGTTTGTTTCAAATGTAAACAAAGAAATTTAGCAGTACTTATATAGAAATTTACTGCCAGTACTTCAAAGGACGTAAGAATCCTCTACATCCTTTTTTTCCCTTTTGCAAAAGGAAAATTTCACAAAATCCTTTTTTTATTTTGAAAAGATTTCTAATATCTTTTACATACTTTCTAGTTCTCGGGGCCCCTACCTGACCCTGCTTTTGTGGTAATCAAGGAAGGCTTTGGGTTAAGGTTCACTGAACCAAAGGCAATCAGTTAATTTTGAGGTGATTATTGAGCACATATTTGCCCTCAGGTCTGTCGCAGGCTGAGTATTATGGGGAATACAGAGTGTCTGTAACCAAAATGTAAGTTCCATGAGAGCAGGGATAGTCTTGGTTTTACTTACTGTGAATCTGTATTAACCAAAATAGTGCCTGGCATATAGTGGGTACTCAATAGATAGCTGAATCAACAAATAAAACATGTCCTCAGATATTACACAGTCTTTTTGTGGACCAAGTCTGACAGCTATTTAAAAATGAGCAACCACCATAAAGTAGTATTAATTCAAATGAGTTTTCTTACTGTAACTGAAATGGCAATAGAAGTTTACTACAGAAGACAGTGATGGCAGCTTCAATCAAAGAAAGTTATATAAGGTCGGGTGCAGTGGCTCACGCCTCTAATTCCAGCACTTTGGGAGGCTGAGGCGGGCAGATCACTTGAGCTCAGGAGTTTGAGACCAGCCTGGCAAACATTGTGAAACATCGTCTCTACAGAAAATACAAAAAAATTAGCTGGGCGTGGTGGCTCACTCCTGTAATCCCAGCTACTTGGGAGGCTGAGGTGAGAGAATCCTTTGAACTTGGGAGGTAGAGGTTGCAGTGAGCCCGTGCTACTGCACTCCAGCCTGGAGGAAAGAGTGCGACTCTGTCTCAGGAAAAAAAAATAAAATAAAGAAATAAAATTGTATAGGGGAACTGACACTTGTGTCTTGTAGTCTATTTAGGATAAGTAGAGGGAAAAGGATAAGGCATTTCAGGTAAGAAAAACAACCTAAAGGATTACTTGGAGATGATCACTGATTTGTTCCTTCATGGAACCAGTCACTTAAATTACATGCTAAGCTTACATATTTTAAAAATTAAACTCAGTATTTGTGTGGTATCTGTCTTTTAAAAATGGTGTGACTTGTTATAATGATGCAACTCCCATATAATTAATAGATGGTAATTATTGAATAGAAGGCCTCTGAAAGATGACCTCGATTCCCCCTTTCACAAAAATAATCCATGAAAGTGTTCAAAACTATGTTTTGGTGATATTTATCTGATGCCAAAAATAAGACTCAAAACCCTCCAGTGTTCAGTATAAATTTCTTGTTCTCCTGTCTTCTAAAACCTGTTAGAAGAAGTTTTGGAATGTGATATAAGCAAGGATGGGAAAGCCAGAAAAGCAGGGCATTGTTGGCTTTATTCAGGTTCAGTGTAGACACTCTTCAGGTGTAGGCTAGACACCACTGGAAAATCAAGAACTGGCTAGTTTATTACCATGATTCACTGTGTGTCTGCTGTTGGTGTCCGTTTGCCTATTCTCTCAGTATCGCAAAATCGTACAACATATGCCATGTAATTGTTATTTGCCCACCTCTTGTTTTCTCTTCCTCCCTCCCACTCCCGGTGACCACTTATCCATTGACCAGACCTGGGTACTGAATATAAAAGTGACCTAAACCTGTATACCCTATCTCTTAACTCTCTTCCGTTTCAGCTTTAATGGTAGATCTGGAAAATGAAGGGCTGACTAGGTAAATCAGAGATCTTTCTGGAGCTTAGGTTCTGTGGTTATCTAATGATTAGATGGTAAGAGGGGTATCCTAACCATTAGATGTTGTCCCGTGGGAGAAAATGAAGTAGCTAGGTCTAAAGGTATCGTTTCCACATGGTGGCTTACTTAATTCCTACAACATTCCAGCTAGCGATACCTATTTTAACAAAGAGAAAAGTGAAATCCAGAAAAGTTAAATAATTTTAAATCACATAGCTTTAAATGGTGAAGTTGGAATTTTATTTCCTTTTTGCCTAATTCCAGCACTGTTTTTCTCCCAGTCTCATGGGAAAAATACAGACAAAAAGGACATAAGAACATTTACAGTAGCAGCAAACTTATATACGGTATTGCAAATTATATTTGTTGAGGGAAATACCTAAGTTCAGTAAACTAAATGGGAGAGCTCAAATTCAAGATCTGTCACCTGTGGTGCATGTTATAGAGTAAAGGGGTTGTCCTCCATGTAATTGATAAGCTATGTGAACAAGCTAAGATCCTCATTATAAATTGTGCTTCTGAATACAGTCCATCCCCATCTTTATCCTTCTGAATAGATGAATGAGTAATCGGTTTCTAACTCCACTTTCAGCTTCATTCCTCGTTACCTGCTGTTTTCTATACTGAGTGGCAAGTGCCACCTGCTGGCCAGATGATGAAAGTTTTATTTCCATTGTTTCACTTGACTGCTCAGTTGTAATTGTCATATTAGCTGGATAATTGTTATTTTTCGGTAAACCTAGGAAATAATTTAAAAACTGTAATGTTATAAAATCAATTTCTCTGTATTTCAGGGCCTCCTGATTCTCAATTTGCCTTTTTGTCAATTTTTAACTTAAAATTTCTCTTCCACCTTCTATTGTGTAACAAGGGCGATCGTGTCATTATCATGCACACAGAATCTAGTTTTACTTACACTTTATTCAGTGTTTTATGGTACCATGTGAAATCCACTTAATACTCTCAATCATTAAAAGACAGATCATAGTTTTTCCCGTGATTTAAGCTACCCTATATTTACCCCTTTATACCTAAGTAATGTTAATGACTAGTGTATTTGCATAATCACTATATTCATGCAATATGTGATGAATTGCTTATGTGTCCCCTAGGTCTTTCTGAACTAATCTTTTCTGTTTACTATAAATTTCTTGGCCTACAGTCCAGGCTATGTATAATCTGACACTAGTTGCCTTTCTATTAATATAATAGCCTTAGTTTCTTCCACTCTGTATGGTGCTGCTGCTGAGCTTCTCCATGTTCCTTATGAGTGTTCACTCCTATGCTGCTCTGCAGGCCTTTGTATCTGCACTCTTGTCTGGAGCAGCCTCTGGTTCTTCTCCAGTCCTTCAAAATCCAAAACTATTGCCAATTCCTGTATGAATTCTTACATTTACCTACTTGGAAAAGTATCTCCTTCCTTCCAGTTCCCTTTGTCCCATGTGGTCTTTCTTACTGTTTTACTTTCTACCTGGTATTATAGTTACTTTGTGTCTAATGTTATAGTTAATTATGTATCTTATCTGTCTCCCAATCAGACTATCTGCTTTTTGAAAGAAAGGACTATTTTTTATTCATCTTTGCATTCCCAACAGTACTTAGGTCTGCAGCTTTCACGTAATAGGTATTTAGCAAACCGTGAATGAAGGATGGAAGGAATAATTTGATTTATGTAGAATTCCTGAAAGATGAATATTTTATATTTGATTGGCTTGGTTGACTCTACATAGGTTAGACTTACCAACTTCTGCATATATTACCGCAGACCAAA